CGAGACCGTCTCGCACCCGTCGCACCGCAGAGGTAGATCATCGACGTTCGGGGACGGACTTTGTATGGAAAAACATAGGCTTTCGTGCATCTGCTATCTCTCAAAAACGCATTTAGTGCGAGGCTTTCTGCAAAACTCCATCGGCAACTCCTCCACCAGCACCACTTGCAATCCCATTTACAGTGAGGGAACGATCCTAGAGTTGCAAATCACAATGGAATTCCATCAGCAACTCATCCACCAGCACCACTTGCAACCCCATTTACAATGCATGAACGATCCTACAGTTACAAATCACAATGGAATTCTGTCGACCACACATGCACGAAAAACAGTTGACACCCCATTTACAATGCGGAACCGATCCGAGAATGATCCGAGGATGATCCGAACATATCCGAGCATGATCCGACCACACACGAGACCGTCTCGCACCCGTCGCACCGCAGAGGTAGATCATCGACGTTCGGGGACGGACTTTGTATGGAAAAACATAGGGTTTCGTGCATCTGCTATCTCTCAAAAATGCATTTCGTGCGAGACTTCCTTCAAAACTCCATCGGCCACTCCTCCACCAGCACCACTTGCAATCCCATTTACAGTGAGGGAACGATCCTAGAGTTGCAAATCACAATAGAATTCCATCGGCAACTCATCCACCAGCACCACTTGCAACCCCATTTACAATGCGGGAACGATCCTACAGTTGCAAATCACAATGGAATTCCGTCGACCGCACATGCACGAAAAACAGGTGACACCCCATTTACAATGCGGAACCAATCCGAGCATGATCCGCCCATGATCCGAGCATGATCCGACCACATACGAGACCGTCTCGCAACCGTCGCACCGCAGAGGTAGATCATCGAGATTCGGGGACGGACTTTGTATGGAAAAACATAGGGTTTCGTGCATCTGCTATCTCTCAAAAACGCATTTCGTGCGAGACTTCCTTCAAAACTCCATCGGCAACTCATCCACCAGCACCACTTGCAATCCCATTTGCATTGCGGGAACAATCAATGCCCTAACTAACTCTTTCTTTGACTAACTCTCTCCCTGACGAACTCTTTCTTTGCTAACTCTTTCTTTGACTACCTCATATATCCTGACTAACTCTGTCTTTGACTAACTCTTTCTTTGACTAACTCTTTCTTTGATTAACTTTTTCTTTGACTAACTCTTTCTTTGACTAACTCTTTCCCTGACTAACTCTTTCTCTGACTAACTGTTTCTTTGACTAACTCTTTCTTTGATTAACTCTTTCCCTGACTAACTCTTTCTTTGACTAACTCTTTCTTTGACTAACTGTTTCTTTGACTAACTCTTTCTTTGACTAACTCTTTCCATGACTAACTCTTTCTTTGACGAACTCTTTCTTTGACTAACTCTTTCTTTGACTAACTCTTTCTTTGACTAACTGTTTCTTTGACTAACTCTTTCTTTGACTAACTCTTTCTTTGACTAACTCTTTCTTTGACGAACTCTTTCTTTGACTAACTGTTTCTTTGACTAACTGTTTCTTTGACTAACTGTTTCTTTGACGAACTCTTTCTTTGACGAACTCTTTCTTTGACTAACTGTTTCTTTAACTAACTCTTTCTTTGACTAACTCTTTCTTTGACTAACTGTTTCTTTGACTAACTCTTTCTTTGACTAACTCTTTCTTTGACTAACTCTTTCCCTGACATTCTAAAAGTCCGTAACACGGAAGTTTCTCCCACTAAACTTCCTTTGATGACAAATCCCCAACCATAAACTGTACTTCATTATCCCAAATGTGCCATTTCGGGGTATTGAACACCTTACCCAAAGAAGGTATTTATTGCGTTTACTATATCAATTACTGTATATGAGTACATAAAGTTGGATGATTCAAACAAGTGATGCGCCTTGCCAAACAAAAGCCAAAGAATTGTTTGAAATTCTGACCCCATAATATAGCGGCTATGTGAGTCATGGGCCAAACAATGTCAAAAACACAACTGGGATTGAACAATAATCGAACAATAATCCAACCACCGACCAGTTGTATGATGATTTCTCATGTTTTCCCTGCATTTTCTGAGTCTTCTGCGCTGGCACAATCAATTTTGGGTGAAAAAAGATGTACCCTCCGGTAAACTAACATAACTATGGAAAATCACATGTTTTTTATGGGTAAATCCACTATTTCCATGGCCATTTTCAATAGCTATGTTAGTTTACCAGAGGGTAGGCCAATGTTAGCTCCCAAATCTGACATACGATGAAATGAATCATCCTTTTTGGTGGTGAAGCGCTCGATTCCGGGCATGTAAACCCATTGTCGGAAGAAATGAAGATGGCTTTTCCAATGGGAACATAGTGATAAAGTATAGAATTTGGGGTTACTTGGCGTGCATGGCAGCTAGTAAGGTGATAACCCCATTCCCCATTATAAAGTGATTCATTAGAGCATCATATACACAACTTATTAACCCAACACGAAAAAAAAAACATCGCCAATAGAAGTTTATGAAATTGGCTATACCATGCTATACCTATATTTGGGGTGATGTAGAATGAACCCCGGTCATGGTGAATCGCATTGGGTTTACCATATTAATAAGTAGTAGTAGCCAAAAACACACATTCCCTATAGTTTCCCCAAGTAATGAGTGCATTTCCCATGGGGAAAACAACAACATTATCTTCAGCAACTCCAGGTACCCATCTTATCCAACCTGACCCTCTGCAGTAGGGTTTTTCATCCCAAAAATGTTTGAAACCACAAACTAGTAGGATGGGTTACTGTAATGGGCGTCATTTTCTTGGTAAATTCTCATAATTCACAAACATGAATTAAGCATATTAAGGCTATTTTTGGAAAGTTCCCCCCAATCCTGACCGCCTATTGCAGTGAGGTCGCAGTGAGGCCGTTATAATTTGTTGGGTCTACCACATCGCTATCCTGGTCGGTGATTTCAACTCCTCTGAAAAATATGACTTCGTCAGTTGGGATGATTATTCCCAATATATGGAAAAATAAAATTTGTGTTCCAAACCACCAACCAGTATCCGTCTGATTCACCAACCATCACCAACCCATCCCATCTGTTGCCTCCCGAGCGGGAACGGTGGCTGGCAGCCCTGCACGGATCTGTGGCATGCGGCAGAGAACGTCTGCCAGGTAGGCTGCTTCCAACGCCACCTGCAAACCCACAGGGAGATCGAGTTTTGGAGTGCTGAAAAAGGAGCCATGGCCAATTGTGTTTACCCTCCGGTAAACATACAAAAAGCTATGGAAAATTGCCATAGAAATAGTGGATTTTCCTATGAAAAATGGTGATTTTCCATGTTTTTTTGTATGTTTACCAGGCCGGGCAATCAGCAACAAAAAGCTGGTTCCACCTGCAATCAGGGTTTCCCTAAGCAAACTAGTGATTTAACCAGCAAAATTTGGGATCACGTCACGTAGCCGCAGGAGTTCACAGAAAAATCCAATATGACTTTGTAGACATTCACAGACATAAAAATAGATCAATGACACCTATAGACAATAGTATCATTATATATATAATAAATACATAATATATATATAATGTATTTATATATATATATCATACATATTATAATATATATGTAATTATATATATATATATCATTCTTGAATGATCATTATAATTATAATCAATGACACTAGATTGATTATAGACACCTACCTTCACATGAAGCCCTCAGACATGTCCCACGAACTCCAGGTCTGGGCCGCCGCTTGCCTTGGTCAAAGAGGACCGCTCCACACCGCTTTGGTCATAGTCCTCCAACTGCTCATAGACCCTGCCCACCATGGCGTGATGAATTTTCAGGATTCACACCGCATTCACACCATACATGCGCTGCAAATCTCAAGGAAGACGTCTTCGTTGGAGCGATTACCAAAGATAATATGCGGTTAATATACTGTTAATAATGGTTAATATGATGGTTATTATATGGTTGATGATGGTTAATAATAATGACTGGTTGGTGGTTTCAACCTACCCCTCTGAAAAATGATGGAGTGAGTTCGTCAGTTGGGATGATGACATTCCATTCCCCAAAAAATCCCAATATGATGGGAAAGTCAATCCAAATTCCATGGTTCCAAACCACCAACCAGATTATGTGCTAGAAAGCTGCTCTTCACTGTCTTGAAGCTTTCACACCCTGCAGGTTACCCCAGTCGCTGGAGGTCACCCAAAAAGAACATGGCAAAGCCATGAGACCCGCGTTTTGGGCAAGCGCCGTGGCGTGCTGGAACATCTTCTACAAAAACAGAGGTTTATCATGGTTGGTAGCTGGGAAAATATGGGAATATCATCTGCAACCGGGTGATTTTCCATTGCCACGCTTGATTACCCAAGGGTATCCATACTGACACCTGTGCAATTCAACATGAGACTTTAAAACAACCAAATGTACTGTAACCGTAAGATCATTGCATGGAGAGATCCAAGTGAAGTTGCACAAAAATGCAAACATCATGTGGAAAACCCAACATGAATGTAGTTTTTTTCCTCACGAAACCATGGATGTTCCACATTTGGTTGATTTGTTTTACAGGTTTACCCCAGGTACCTCAGGGAAACATTGGCCCACAGCTTCATACATATCCGGAAACATATCAACCTCCACAAGCAACAAGGCTCCAACACACAACTCGGTCTTGTGTAGCTCCTTGCAATAACCCATCAACTAGGCTAGTTTAAATGGTTCAATTCTACCCGAACTAGATTATAAATACAACATTACAATATCCCCAGTTATAAAGGGCATACAACATACATATCCAACATCTCCAAGCAAGTCATACCGCGCCTGCGTTCCATTTTGGATGGTTTATCATGGTTTTTACCACATGAACGGAGAATATGCAACTCGCTATTTTAGCAGCGGTGTTCTTGAGCCAAAGGTTGGCGTAGCAACTAGTGAGAACCCTATATCCCGTCACCCCTCCTGTACAGAGGCTGGGATTTTCCTAAGCTGATGTACACTCATTCCAAAGCCTTTGCAGCTTCGGCTCTACCATGAGAGTACTCGAACCCCATGCTTTGCATGTGTCTTTCCATCTCATTCGCGGGTAAACCTTTGGTGCACAAATCAGCTACGTTCTGCTTTGTCGGGATCTTCACCAGTTCGAATTCATGTAGTGCAAGCTTTTCTTGCACCCACAGAAAGCGAGTTTGAACATGCCGTGAGCGGCCTAAGCCCTGACGGTTACATGTTCCCAGCGCAGCGGATGAATCTGTGTGCACTTTAAGTTTTGGTTGTAGGCCCCATCCTCGCAAGATCTCCTGTAGCGACATTCCGATGGAAACTCCTCGAACGATCGAGTAGTATTCCGCTTCACTGGAACTCAAGCTGATCGTGCTCTGAAGAGTGCTCGAGGCCTTCACCGTGTGGCGGCCAAAGGTTGCCACAAGTCCACTTGTTGAGCGCCTTGTAAGAAGACACCCAGCGAAGTCGGAGTCCACGTACATGTGGATCGTGTCAGCAAACTTCTGGCGACCAAACTTCAAAAGTACACGTGGTTTCCCTTTCAGAAATCTCACCAAGCGTTTCAGATCCTGAAAGTCAGATTCTTTGGGCTCATGCATTCTTCTTGATAGGCATTTCACTGCCTCCGCGATGTCAGGTCTGTCCTGTGCCACATACGACGCTCTCATCACCAGAGACCGGAAGAAACTTACACGGTCCGGTGTGATGGTCGGGGTGGTCAACTTCAAGTTGGCCTCCGTGGCTGACATTTTCTCAGATGGTGTCTTGACTGGCTTACAGTTTTCCATTTCTAGATCTCGTACCATCTGGTCAACGTGGCGGGGATCCGCCTCATAGGATACAGAGCCTTCCTGCTCGTTGTAGGTCACGATTCGATTGAGCACTGCGAACTGCTGATGCCGTTCTCCAGGACCGATCGATCCATCGACCCGCAGATCATATTTGGACCTCAAGGTGTCCTCAAGGTATTTCTGTCCAGCATCATCAGCAAGCACCACGAAGTCATCTCCGTGTACAAGAACTCGAATACCACCGTAACCTTCATGGTAAAAGCAGGATGGCCAAGCTTGATTCTTGGCAAAACCAGCTCGGATGAGAAGTTCTGTATATGATCTTTGCCAGATCGCTGATGCATCGCGTGTTCCATACATGCTCTTAACGAGCTTGCCACAAAACCCTTCTTGTCGATCTCCTTCAGGTAACTGCACGAAGATATCACGCTCTGCCTCTCCATAGAAGTGAGCGCGTGATATGTCAAGAAGACGAACTTTCAGTGCATTGCCAGACTTGGATCGTCTCAAAGTCACCATAAGCGATAGAAGCAATTTCAGCGATTCCAAAGGCGGCATCGAACTGAAGGACGCATAGTCCGGAATGAAGTCAGCATTGCTGGCCCGTTTGATCTCTCTACAGACCAGACGTGACCTGTAGTTGGGGTGTGTTGCATCCCCTTTGTTTCTGTCAATCCATTTCATGGTGATGACCGGTTTTCCAGACTGTTGGGCTTCTGTGAGTGGAACTTTGATATAGATACCCTGTTTGTGTACCCATGCTAGTTCTTCTTGTCGAGCAGCTCTGACCTTGTCAACATCCAAGACAGCACCGGAGTGTGCGTCAAGCACTGGCTCCACGATGGTGTCATCGCTGTCGGGCAGCTGCTTCCAAAACTCCTCCTCTTCATTGATCACAGGTCCAGCATCGGGTACTGGGCCATGTGAAAGTGAGTGTAGTTCTCCATCACATTCCAGTTGGCGCCTAATGGCCTTGAGAATTGCGTGGACAAGCTTTGGTGGGTATTTCTGGGCAGCTCGGGCTCGTCCATCAACAAGATGTACATGGCGGTGCCAAACTTTGCCTTCTTTGTTTGAACAGCACCCTTGTAGGGTCTGTGCCAGGATTGGAGAGTTCGTGAGCCAGGTAGTTTGTTTCTTCACTGACCCTTCACCTTGGCCATCGGCGGCCTTCATTCCCCAACGGCACATTGGTCCAGTGACCTCATACACCCGTTCATCTGCCCTCAGTCTCTTCACAGCTCTCTCTTCCCACGAAGCGGCCCCTTTAGGGTGCTCATGGTAGAAGTACCTTCCAGCATTCATTTGATGCTCATACGCTGAAACTGCCGTGCGCAGATGTTTGCGACCATCTTTTAGTCTCTGCGCTCGAACTTCAGGTGAAACATTGCCCTTCGCATCCACAATGTTTTGCAGCTTCGAGAATGGCCCACAGGGAGGTGAGCCGCCGAGGAACTCTGGTTTCTCATAGTCAAGCAGTTGAAACAGATCACGAATGTGTTCATCTTTACTCAAGTCCCAGTCCCAGTGAGTTCCATCACCACGCTTTGTCTCCAAGTCAATCGAGAAGCCAGGTGCTAGCCCGACCACTTGGGCTTGTGCAGCCACACGCGGTGGAGAGAAGATCTCAGCAACCTTCCCTTTTGCGATCACATCTTTGAGCAAGGAACACAGATGTAGCATCTCCTGGTTTGTCTCAGGACTTGTTGGTGCAGCGGCAGCACCTTCCAGAACACCAGATGAAGCATCCGGTGCCGGTGGTCCGGCTGACCCTGAAGCCTGAGCTGAAGATTCATTGTAAAGATCTTCAACGTCGACTTGTGAACTCCTTTTCTCTCCTCGGGATTGTTCTTGTTTCTGCCTCTTTGGGCTTCCTTCTCTTTCTTGTTCTCTCTGTCTGAGTTCTCCACGAAAATCGGTGTCGACCAGTGGTTCACCAACAGCCTCACTTGCATCCATTTCCGCATCCAAAGGAACACGGTCTTGCAAGACTGGTTGTTCAACTTCCCCTCCTGGGACAACTGGTGGTGCAGCTTCACCACCTTCTGCCCCACCACCCTCAGGCGGTGCAGCCGCGCCTCTTGGGCGCCTGCCTTGTGCAACTCTCTCTCTCGCTCTTTTGATCCTTTCTTGACCTTCTGGAGTCTTGTCAAGTTCGATCTGGATTCTTTGTCTGCACTCAGCATTGTGAGCTCGGCTTGGCATCTCAAGTATTGCTGCTTCACATCCAGGACACAAAGGTGTGTGCCCATGCTTTTCCAAGTCATTCTTGGTGACATAGAGGTTCCTTGGGATCACTTCTTGCACTGCAGGCCTTTCACGAGGCGCTGCAACATCGGGAAGGGCGATCCTCAGTCCACCATGTTCTCGTTCTTGCAACCTCCAAGGAAGGCCACGTAGCGAGTCAAACTGATCATGTTTGAACTGATCGTCAGGTGGGCGTCGATGGATCGAGTTCCCCTTCATGATTCCACGTTCCGTCATGACAAAGACGTCTGAATTTCTGTTTCCAGTTCCAACGTACATCCCAATGGATACCCTTGGAGCAAGGTCATTTCTCTTGCCCCCACGATTGGCCCTCGGCCTATACAGGATGCTTTCACCGAACCTCACAAGCGGAATCCGCCATTTTCGTCCATAGGTCCGCTCAAAAGCGGTCTTTCCATCAGTACCTACTCGGTATCTCGTCAAGAGAAAGGCAGCATGCCGCGGGAGCCAAACCAAAAGTGGATGGCCCGGATCTACCTTCCTTTCCAGCTTGAACTCCAGGTCGCTGAGGAGAGCACGACATTGTCGTTTTATCTCTCGCACTCCCACTTCGATAAACCCATTGGCTTGATGGTCTTCTACTGGGGTTTCCACCAAGTGCACTTCGATGTGGGTCTTTATCTCCTTAACCTTCTGTTTAAGGGATACCAAGGAGGGTTCACCGTCAGACTTAAGGATTACCTTATTAAAACCAGCATCATCCAAAACTCCCCCAAGCCACGCGATTGCGAACGCATCCGCCCCTTTTCCCGGGAGAACGCTCGCCCAAAATCTCTTGGTCTTGTGGCACTTCGCCACAATGCTCGGAAGGGTCGCCTCATCCGCAACCTGGTCCTGGTTCATATAGAAGTAGTCCAGGCTCAGCGTGGGCAACTGCGTTTCTGGCTCATCAAGTTCCTTAGGCACATGGCGATCAGCAGTCACACGTGCCCTTTTGCAGTGCAAGCACCAGCTCCGATGGACAACATGTCCAGTGCTTTCATGTTCGTCAACTTCAGCTTGGGATGGTTGATGTGGTTCTTTCTTCACAATGGCTTTCCTCTGTTCTTCACCGATTTCCAAATCAACTTCATCTTCAAAGGCATCTGCTCCGGCTGAAGCAGCTGGAACATCGCCTGAGGACCCTGCTCCGGCCGAAGCGGCTGAAACATCGCCTCCATCTTCCATGGCATCGGCTCCGGCTGAAACAGCTGGATCCTCGCCAACAGCGTTGATTTGTGGTCTTACTCCTCTTGAGGATGCCCCTGAAAAGGTGACACCCAATAGTCCAACACATAGATGCCTCGGCGATTGTGCACAATGGGCATTGAATCGCCATAATCTCGGATCAGATCTTTCATGGCCTTCGAATAGGCCCGTCCCGCAGGAGTGTTTCTTGGGATCAATCTCCCCGAAGATGGTCCAAGGGCGATGTGGTAGTTCTTGGCGATCTCGGAACCTGAAAGAAGTGGCCGATGCACATCTGCAACTCGGCAATCGATTGGGATCTTGTTGCCAGATTCGTCGTATCCCACCAGCTTCACACTTCCCTGATCTTCGATGGGTTCCGCATTGGCTGCCTTGTAGCTTGCTCCATTGGACTCGCTCCTCGGGTAGTCCTTGGCGAAGTCAAGTGGTACTGCAGTGATGGCAGCACCGGTGTCGATGTTCAACTCTGCTCGTTCCCATTTTCGCCAGTCGTCAGAGGCCCCCAAGCTGTAGACTGCAGCAGGAGCCGATCCAGCTCCACCATCGGGGTCTCCTCTGCCTGGTCGGTCTCGAGGCTCATCAGGCTCTTCGATGTAGACCTCTTCCATTTCATCATCATCTTCATCTGCGTTCACTTCAGTGTTTTCCTTCAGAACCAAGGCTGGTCGGTTCTTCCTCGCCATCTTGCGCGCCACATTGCGGTTCCGATTCTTCTTCACCCTGTACCCAACGCTTCGAACACGCTTGGTCATGGGTTTCTTCTTGGGATCCTTCCGCAGCAACTTGGCCTCGTCGTCCGGGAACTGCCTCAAAGTTTTCCGCTCTTCCATTGAAAACTCTATCACTGTGCTCTGACCAGCTTTGCCCACAACCACCGTCTCGATGCCCGCATCCAAGTTGTCTTCATCCTCGATTCTCACTATGCCTTCTGGATTTTCTGGGTTGTCAAAGCGTTCATGCCATTCTTTGTCAAGTCGAATCCTTTCAGCCGCACGTGCCTTGACTCCTCCTCGTCGGTGGACGATTGCACGTCTTCTCAAACGTTCATTTCTCCAGGCCACATTGTGTGCAACACCTTTGGCAATCTCGGCATGGTATCTCGAGTCGTGGAAAGAAGGATCGCTGATGTTCTGCTTTGTGATGTGCGGTGCCTTGACAGATCTAGTCCTCAAAGCCGCTAACATCGCATCTGCCTGGCCATCTCCTGAACCAGGATCTTCTTCTTGGACTTTGCGGATTTGTGAACTCAGCGCAGCCTTCAGCATCTGGACAAGTCGAGAACCTGAAGTCGAAGCTGCCGATGATGCCTTGACAGGTGGTGGTGGCTTCACCTGAGAGCTTTGCTATCCCGGTGGTGGACATGGCGGAGTCTTGGGTGAAGCTACTTGGCTTTGCCATCCTGGTGGTGGTCCTGGTGGAGTCTTGGGCGAGGCTATCGGCTGTTGTGGAGGTGATGCAGGCCATGCTATAGGTGTCGGTGGTGTCTTTGGCAAAGGTGTAGAGCTACGAAGAAGTTCTTCTGGAGTCTGTGGCCCATGCCTCAACCTTCTCCTTGGTGGTGGTGTCATCGAAGTCATTCGAAAGCGTCGGAGTGCTGACTCCGGAGTGACTGGCCCTGATCTGCTTGCTTTGCCTCTCTTTGGTGTTGAGCTCTTTGGACTTCTGCCCCTCTTGGGTCTTCCCTGTGGCGTTCGAGGTGCCTTGGAAGACGCGGACTTGGATGTAGTGGTCTCGTGCTCGGTGACCTCCTCCAGTCGAAGCGACCGAAGGGGTCTTGAGCCACTCGATCCACTCGGTCCATCATAGTCGGGGTCGTCCCACTCTTCAGGCCATGACGCACGTGGGTGAGGCAAAGAAAACCACCTTCTGCGACTTGTCGAGGCTTCCGACTCCTCGGACTCGGGATCGACCTGGAAACTTTCGTCGTCATCCTCGTCATGTGGTGGCCCATCAACGCCATAGAGCGTTAAACCATTTGCTGCTTGTTGACCATCGTCGCCATCAGCTGCGTCCCAGTCTTCTGCTTCTGGTTCACCTTGTTCGACATTGTTCACAGATTTGCCTCCTTTGGGCTTCTGCTTGTGCTTTCCGGGGCTGCCTTTGCCCTTGCCCTTGTCCTTATTCTGATTGCTGTTGCCTTTGCCACCCGTCCCCTTATGTTTGGGGCCTCCAGGTGCCCAGCAATCTGCCCGCAGATGTCCTGGGCGTCCGCAGTTGTGACATGTTCTCTTCTCAGCTGTTGCATTTCCCTTTCCAGGTTTTCCTCCAGCTCCCTTCTTGCCCTTACCTTTTCCCTTCGCATCTTTTCCAAAGCTTCCGACATCTATAGGATCGTCCCCACGGCCATGTGCGTCGTAGGGCTGGCTATTCACCACCTTGATCTTGTTGCCGGTGGCATGTTCCACATAGGACTGGATCTCGGACAGCATGGACTCGAACGTCTTGAAGCGATCTCGATTGAGAACGAGATGACGCTCGAGCTCTGCCGGCACCAATCGTTCAATCACGTTGATCTTGATGTCTTCTGCCAACATCGTTCGGTTGCCAGATGCGTCTTTGCGACGTTCATAAAGTCTGATGCTGTCAAGAAGCTTCTCCAGGTTGGACGGCAAATCTTCCATCTTGGATCGAGCCGGTGACAAGATTGCATTGAGGAGAGCGCGTTTGCGACCACCAGTGGATGGGTCGTACCTCCGCGTGAGCTTTCTCCAGCTTTCGATGCCGCATTCCCCGGTGTTCAGCACGATGTCAAAGGGCTCACGCTCTGTCAGCATTAGCAGCGCGTCCCAAAGCTCGCGTCTCAATTCACTGATGTTCGACACCTGGTCAATGGCATCTGCTTGACTCCCAAAAGCCTTGTCGATGTCATCTGCAGTGATTGCATGATCGCAATCTTCGGCCCAAACCAGAATCTCACGAAGGTCTTTGCGAACACTTGCAAGATAGGAGGACGTCTTGATTTTCCATGACAAGAATCTTTCGGCTGTCCCATCAAACTTGTCGGGCTTGCCAAGGCCCTTGTTGTCGACCAACCGGACTTGTTCTTTCGATCTAAGGGCGTCCACAAGCTCCTTTTGTGACTGCACCAACTGTGCCAGTGCACTGCCAGGTCCAGCTGAAGCAGCCGAACCGGCACCAAAAGAAGCGACCTGTGCTGTCAGTTCAGCTTCTCGGCCTCTTAGTCGATTGACCTCGGTCTGTAGTTCCTGGAGCGACTGGAGGACCTGTGCCGCTTGTTGTTGGTCCATTGCTAAGACCCTGGAGCGTATCGCTCCGCTACCATGAACGGAGAATATGCAACTCGCTATTTTAGCAGCGGTGTTCTTGAGCCAAAGGTTGGCGTAGCAACTAGTGAGAACCCTATATCCCGTCACCACATGATCTCCAGTTATAAATGGCATAATTATAACTCATGGATAAGATACATATCCAACATCTCCAAGTCAAGTGAATTTATGGCTTCTTGCTTCTTGCATGGCATAAATCATAGCTATCCAACATCTCCAAGTCATCTTGCGCCTGCGTTCCATCATGCAGTAGTACTTTCCATCATTGGTTCGCCCCGTGCGGCCCCGGCGTTGCTTCAGCGAGGCTTTGGAGCACCAGGTGGTCACCAAGGTGGACATCTTCGACTGCACAGTGGTGGCATGGGGAGTTACCCGGGTCAGGGGGAACCGGAGATGCCTCGTGGGAAAAGTAGGCTTCCACTTACAACTGGGAAGTGATCATCTAAATAGGATGAAGCACCAAACACCTTTGGGGAGTTAGGTCTCCAAAAAGATGTGGAAAACCCATGGGGCGTACCGCAGTCGCGTACCAAAATACCGACGCGAAACGCGGACACCTCGTCGTTGTACTCGTTGACGCGGTGCATCCCGAAGTCCAAGACCGCTCCGACGCTGGGCAAAGTGAGGGAAGATTCCGCCATGTTGGTGGCGATGATCACCTCTCAACGGTGAATCGGGAGGATTTTTCAGGGTGAAAACACAGAACCAAGGGATCAAGGGGGGACTTAGTAACTGGTTAGTATATGTATCCCATAGGATCCATGTATGGTATATATGCTAACATTTGGGGTATATTGATGGTAAATGTTACCATATACAACATACATGGATCCTATGGGTATGTGTTGGTATCTTATGTTAGTATTTATGTTAGTCATTCTTAGCTGAGCATATGTATGTTGGCTCTAATTGTTGATAGAGTGTGTTAGTTAATGAGTGGTGATCATCATCCTTGACATAACCAATCTTCTTTGGTGAGGTCAGCCTCGTGGTCACTATCAGTTGCCCAGATTAATCTGTGTTGTATATGATAACTCCATGAGTGCGCCAGTAGTATACTGCGAAATGAAATGTTAGGAGATGGTTAGATGGTTAGTATACTGTGAGTATATGTTAGGAAATGGCTAGTATATGTTAGTATACTACACCAGTACAAGCAGCAGTATACTGATTTATAACAGCATATACTGATTTTTTAACGGCATACTAGAATAGTCTCATGGTCAGCATCATGATATACTGACGAGATATTTTAGCATATGTTCGCATGTGTTAGTATAGTAATCATGTTGTGGCACTTACTTTTGCAAATATAACATTCAGTAAGCATGTTGTTGTTTTGTGTCTGAACATGGTTATACCATGTTATACCCTCCCTGTTGTGGAAACTGTACATTGGATGAAAAATGGTGACTAACGTCACCATCAACTCTGGGGTGTTTTCTCCGTTTCAGTTTCAGACAAAGCAAGGCTTGGCTTTGAGACTAAAAACATCTACTGGTTGGTGGTATACCTACCCCTCTGACAAATATGAGTTCGTCAGTTGGGATGATTATTCCCAATATATGGAAAGTCATAAAATTCATGTTCCAAACCACCAACCAGTCTAAAATCACTATGCAGGACACAGCAGTCCTGCACCAAACGAGATTTCGCCAAATGAAAGTTAGAACCAACCCGTGTGGTCTCTATAAACAAAATTGACGACAATAAGGCAATAAAAGCGACATCCCGGGGTTGGTTCTGAGCGAAAGCCTGCAGGAAACCTGGCTAGAAAAAGTCAGGGGAAACGGATCTCAGTTCCTCGTCTCCATAGCAACCAGTCTCCCACTCAAGATGTTGAATTGAACGGTTCCCCTGGCACAAATGACAAATAGATTTGTTTAAGCATATTTAAAAAGGTCTACTCCCAACGTCACAAGCTTACACAGCATGGGATATATCATGATACCTAGACCGTCCAAATACCAGGAAAAAAACAGTAAAATAGTCAAACAAATCTAAAAATCAAGAGGTAAACCACGATTTTGATGGGGATTTGGCGGGTATACCCTAAGAAACACCGGCCATTTTCTGTGCAGATCCATGGATAAAACATGATAAAACACATCAAATCTACCCGTTCGCACCTTCCACTGCCCTTCGGGTACTGGATCACCCGCGTGCTTGTAGTCGTTGTCATCCTGGGTTACTGCGGACACGTTGTCAGATCTGGTGGGGTGAAAGCTGGGGTTGAACCATAAAAACTATGGGGTTGTAAAGGTTTCAGCCATGAAAACATATTGAAAACTATGGGGATGTGGTTGGTGACCGCTAATGAATTCAACTCTTTGTCATGATCACCATTCTTAGTATGTACATCATCTGTAAATGGGCCATTTTCCAATATTTTCCATAGTAAAGTGTTCAAAGCTTTTAATCACCAGGGGTTGTCGCTTTAAAAAAAAAAACAGTTGGAGTCCGTTCACATCCCCAAACTTCGCCGGGCTTCGAGTGCGGAATGCATCAAGATAATATCTGGCTTCAAACGTTGTTCCATGGTGGGTTCCAGTATGGCTGTTAGCTGGTTCTTCAACTCCTTCATCCTCAGCCACACAGCTTGCCGCATCTTGCCGCCGGCAAAGGCCAACAAAAACACTGACCGGGACCTATGGAGTGACCTACAAATATCAAAATGGGGGACATAGAGCCCCTTGCAAATGGTGATTCAAACCGTGGCTGAAGAGCCCACCTCAAAGAAATGCCAAATAAGGATCGACATATGATAAATCTTGGAAACCCACCACGCAAGACTGGAATTGTTTCCGGAACTTTCAGTGGCTCTTCGAATCTCCACACATGTGGTGAACCAGTTCTAAAGTTTTCTTGTTGCACCAGCGATCTCCAAAAACAAATAGGAGCCGCCAACATACCGGATGGGGTAAACCTTATGAACCTGTATTGTTGGTTTACCAACCATCCTTTTATAACAGTGTCTCTACCTCATTCATATTCATTCATACTGATCATCATCAACCATCATATCTGGAAAGTTCTCACATGTTTATACATGTTTCCCATATGTTTCATGAAAATCACCTCCCCAAAAACAGAGATCCCAACAGCACCTTTGCAGAAATCCACCATGATACAACGACCTTCCAGGAAACTGATCTAGACCGGGCAGGAAGGCCAGGACCACATTGATACGCATCATCTGCCGAGGAGATCCCAAGAGATCCCAAGTCATGTGGCTTTTTTCCACGCCATAAATGCACCATTCCCCAGTCATCACCATAGGGCAGGTATGTTTTTAGCAATCCCAGTCATGGCCTAGTTTATGATTGTTTTAACCACATGATGGTTGAAGAAAAACATAAATCTATGAAGCCTCCAAGACAGGGCAGTTGTCGACTTGGAGCCCTTCTTCGACACCCCAATTGCTGGTGGATGTCCCCAACGCAAATTGTCAAGGGATGATGTTCACCAAGGGGAACACAATGTTTGACAAAAAATATGTATATCAGGGACTTAACCAACCAACATGGTCATTTAAACAACAAGAACGGGATATCTGACAGCACCAATCGGAAAAACAAGATTTGATAGATTTGATGGCGCTAACCATGCTTATACCTGGGCCCAACAAAAGAGACCATAGGGTACTCTGGATAATACAAGACAACGGTGTCTTAAGGACCTCTCTTCATGATTCGGCCCAGTGCAGTGTCACTTTCAAACAGCACCCTGAGGTCTTTCAAAAGCCACTACAGCAGCTTCACCTTTTATACGGTCGTGGAACCTGACAAAACTTAGCCAAAGGGGCATCATATCGTCCCTACGGAAACAACCATGAAACTAAAACTCTACACGGCTCTATATTATCCAACAGAAGAATGCAAATGTGTAGCCTCTGATCATCTCGCACAAGCATTGACAATGACCCATGTGTAGATGATTTGCCTCCTAACGCATGGCTATTACTATTTTCCATGGCTACAAGTATGTCAGCTAGTATGTCAGCCAGAAAGTTGCCTCAAAGAATGTTTTGTTTTTCCGATGTTTTCCGCACACATTCCAAACATCCTCGCGCCTCATACAAATGCTTGATCCACCGGGCTCCAACGGTGGTGAGTTTCTGACAGGCCGATGTGAGCTTGTCAGAACGAGTCATCGACTTTTTCAATGTCCTCAGTTCACCGATTCATCAGGGTATATTATACCAGTTGGTGGTTTCAACCCGCTGAAAAATGATGCAGTGAGTGAGTTCGTCAGTTGGGATGATTATTCCATTCCATTCCGAATTCCCTTTTCTGAATGGAAAGTCAATCCAAATTCCATGGTTCCAGTCACCACCAACCAGCTATTTCACCGAAAAAGTCAGGCCATTGGGGGTCAGGAAAACCATCTCCCCAAAGCCTTCCGGATGGCATTTTTGTCTGGTGCCCAGTTGATAGGTGTCAATTTTAGATTCCAGACTTTAAGGGGAAAAAACAAATCAGCAAAAAATCACGTATATACTTATGTATCTACACCAAGGTTCTTGAGGTTTTCCGGTAGCAACTCACCAAATGATGGCCCTTTTTGTCTGATGTGCAGAGGTAAGTCTTCAAGAAAGAAGTCCTCAAACAGCAATTCGCCAACTGCAAACAGCTGTGAAAGGAATCCAAGCTAACCAGTCATCTAAGCGGAAACTTAATCATTCCTTGTGCCAACAAACCTCGCAAAAATCCCCGGCAAATTGTCATAAAGCAACAATAAATTCAATGAAGTTATTAATTAACTCAAATCCTTCATCGAGCCATCAAAAAAAAACATGTTTCTCATGTTTACCTTAAAAGAAAAAAAAATATCTCAGAATCTCCGCCACCGACCCCTTTTGTTTGGGGCTAACCTTGGAACCGAGCCCGCAGCCCCGTCCTCAACTTGGTAGGGCGTCGATCCTGGCGAGGTGATACTGGTCATTTCGGCCCGATGGGGCGCTGGAAGCAGCACCGGTTTGAAGAACGCGTGCAAGGCTTTCTGCAAGGTGGCGGACATCCTGAGAGCTGGGGAGCTGCTGAGCAGCTCATCCCTGGGATACCTTGGGATATGCTTCTTTTTGACTCCTGGTGACCTGGTGAAGGTGTTAGTGAAGCATGTTCAAGCTTCTGATTGTTGTTTTTCAAGAGACTGAGAGACTGAGCCTTTGTACTCCAATATGTCGGTCCTTTTGATGACTCGAACACCACCACTTTGAAGTCTGACAACCCTTAATCTCCCCCTTTTCACGGACTGAAATCCCCCTTTTCCACGGGTCAAAATGGATGTTTCCTAAAATAGTACCCCCAAATCATCCCAAGTCATTGGACCATGACTTCGTATTGAAAGCCATTTATATGGTGCATCCTATGACTTTGACCAGCCCCTCATGTCATTGGACCGGTCCCAGCGTCACCACGATGCGCGTCCGCAAGCTCTCGGGCCGCGAGAGCAACATCCGCAGCAGCGCCATGAGAAAATCCGCCTCGACGAAGCGCTCGTGGACCTCGTCCAGCACCACGTGACTGAAATTCTCCAAGTGCGCCCTTGGTGAAGCTGGAGTTGATACCATTTGAGCCTCAAAAAATACTATACTGTAGAATTACTGAGAAAAACAATATTTTTATATTATGTGTTAATGGGTAATTACTTGGAGGGTCTAGGTACTATGATTATCATGTCGAATCATCTGCAGAAGTTGAAGAATGTATATAGTAAGATATTTATTTGATCTCTAATTATGTTTAATCATGCTTAATCATCTGTAAAGAATAGTATGATTATGTACTAAAAGAACCCTGTCGTACATAACCAAGAGCAAGATGAAGAAGAAGGGTTCGCAGGAGAAACAATGGTCCACATGATTCCTCTAGGTTGGGGCGGGGGGCTCTTGGACTCTTCGATGAAACCGGGGAAAGGGTCCACTACTGAAGTGAAAAGGCTGAGGGTATCAAACATACAACGGTTGATTAAGAATTCTGTTGCTCCAAGTATGGGATCAAGCTTTAAGTGGCTTGACATGATCGGTTTTAGGTTGGTCCGTCTGTGGATGGTTTCAATACTGGACGGTGCCAATGTCAAACATCCTAGTGTAGTCGGTTTGGGTTCCCTTCGGAGATACATGTAATCATACGCATATAGCTGGTTTGCAGGTTTCAATAGAACCTAGAGTCGGACTCTTGCTTTTGATCTTCAATCACCAAACCCTTCGCAGCCAAACCTGTAAGGTCGAGTCTGGCTGCTTGCCATCCAAGAACTTGCAGCTGGTTACATCTTTTGACACCATCAGCTCAGTCCAGCAACAGCGATAAGTCGCCCTGCTGTCTTAGAGACAATTACAGAAACATCCACAAAGACAACACAATAAACATCCTACTAATTAAAATAGGGCTTATTTATGTTTTTCTTTTATAAGGGGTTACTGTAGAGAAAGCCAGCATACCTACCTGCAACCCCAATTCACCAAGTCTCGGATTGTGCACCAAAGCCTCTAGGAAGTGACCCACTGTGACATACACAACCAACCCCTGCGGCGCCGCAGCGATTTTACTGAAGCCCTGTTTGGGAGACCAAGTGGC